CAGCTTGAGGCTGTTACCTCTTATGGTGCCTGCCTGAGAGGAGTGTGGCTCTCCCTTTTCCACAGTCTCCCGTTTGGTAGCTGCAGAGAGCAGTAAGGTGTCCCCAGAGACAGCTTTCTGCTTAGGGCTGAGCAAACAAAGCTCATGTGCTCCAACAGCCCTAGCTGTCTTGATGGCAGTGAAGGTCTTTTTTTTTTTTTTTGTTCTGGGGAGCCCAAACTAGGGCACAGTACTCCAGTCTCAAAGAGAGAAGAATAACCCCAACCTTTGACCTACTGGCTACCGCCTTGCTGATGATACAGCCTGCTGACTCACGTTCAGCATCTCACCCAGCCCAACTACCCCAGTGTTTTCTGCCAAACTATTTTTCTGTCTAGCTGCTGTCCAGCTTGTACTTTTCTGTGTGATGATTTGATCCCAGGTGAAGGACTTGGCATTTGGCAAACTGCTTTGAAACAAAGCTAGAGTAGTTAAAGTTACACTGTGTTTTAATTTTCATGTAATAAAACAAGAATTATTTGGGACTATGCAGTGTGATCCTAGAAGCAGGGGAACAAGTTGCCACATTTTCTAGGCATTCCACATAGGCAGAAAATGCAGTTGGAATAGCTTGCACAGCTACAAGTTAAAAAAATTCAAGAACCTTGCTTCAATGCTTGTGAAAAAGGTGAAGGGTAGTAAAACTGACAAAACAGAAATGGCATTTTCTTTCTGAATGCACTGCATAATGAATAAGTGATTTAAGAATCATAGGTGAGAGAGAAGCAATTTATAATGAAAAACAAGCAAAAGGGAAGCTATTGCAATGACAATTTCCACTGTAAAATAATTAAGTCCATAACATCACACTTGTCTACTACCTATAGCATAAACAGAGAAAAGAGATAGTATTTTAATACTTCTGTGACTCTCATATGGATACTCTATATGACTGCCTAAATTCACACTGTTATTCTGGTGCAGTTTCTCAGAGTTCTGCCTGTTTGTACTCACAAACTGAAGTTAAGTGGTGTAGGTTTGAAGACTGATAAACAAACACCAAAATCTTGCATAATGGCAGATGCAGAAACTCAAACATGTATCTGTTTTTATGTGGCCTCTCTACCCTGGCAGCCAGGTGATCAGAGCAGGGTATGCCCTCAGTCCTGTTGCAGCCATTGGTCTTGGTGGCGGCTCTGTGCTGTATTTGGGGGATCAGGATGCAGAGCTATTTCTAGCAACTCGTGGGAATTTAAGTATAGTTAACTGCATGAGTGTTATCAATGACAAAGCTGGCTGTGCCATCTTAAGGGTATCTCGTTCCTTATGGGCAGGGAAAAAGCAGCCCTGAAGAGTTAACCCAGGTCAATGCTGCCAAAAGCTCATTGCCTTGTCTGTGATACACATGACCCAAAAGAGACCATTCCCAGTCCTGGCTGCTCTTTTAGAAGGACATTTATCAAGTTACGTTTTATAAGGTTCCCTTTTAAACCCCGGATTATGCATAGCTGATAGGGATTGTCCACTTGGAAGGCTAATGGGGAATACTTATTCCAGTTCTCAGCAGCAGATACAAAACTAAGTTTTCCTGCCTGGAAGAAGAGGCCAATACTAATTCATTGAACAAGTCCTTTAATTGTCCATTAAGGTTCAGTTGGTCCTTTCCCTCACTGGGTACCCTGAACTGTGTAAAGTTGCCTACCAGGAAGCTTGTATAAAATAACTGCCCGTTTTGTTCTGTTCTATGTTTTTGACTGGAAGCCCTGAGAGTTGCCTTCAGAGGTGGAGGCTTTACTGTGTATCCATCCCTTTACTCAACACAGAAATGAAACTTGTGTTACCACTTCCACTAGAAGCTGATGCACCTAATAGTGATGACCTTGCAATTTCTAGATGGCAATGTGTCTGAAGAATTACTTGTGTATACCAAAGGAAACACAGTACGTGATCACTATGCAGCAAAATCAATTAAAAAGTCCATCACTGTTTATTCCCTGTAATTTTTTATGAGCCTTTATTATTTCTATTGCAATAGCACCCAGAGGCACTTGCAAGATTTTGGAGCTATAGTAAGGAACTCACTGCATGTGGGAAAGCACGATATTCTCCTTGGATGTCTTGCAATCTTTGTGCAGACAAGCTGCAACAAGTGAGTGAAAAGTTTCACCCAGTTTCTCACACCTCCATTTTTATGTAGACCCAGATGAAACCGCTGTAGCTTGTTCCAAGACTGTTCTTCCAGCTAAACCAGAATTGTGCTAGTACTAAACAAACCTGGTGCTTCCCATTTGATGCTGTAAGTGAATCATATTCTTTTCATCAGCTCTCATTTGTCCACCTTCCTCACCTGTGGAGGCCTGCTTGGCTTTTTATTATACATGACTCAATGTACCTTCTACTTTGGTTAGATGCTCTTGGCTTCACCCTGTGGGATCAAATCAGAGCCTGATGCTGCCACTACCCAATTAAGTATACAAGTAGTATGTCAGGTGATACTTAATCAAGTCTGTTCATCATCTTTTCCTCTTTCTATCTGCCCTAGTGTATTTTGCTCTACCAACCCCATGCCAGTGTGTCCCTATCTAACCTTAGAAGGTCCCATAGTCACTCTTTAATATCACATCCTTTCTGCATTTATCACTGGAGTAATTGAAACTCTTTTCATTTTTATTATGCTCAGAAGAAGTTATTTATTGCAATAAAACTGGGGACTTGAATTCAGTTGATCCAATGTTTGTTCCAGTTTTACTACAAACTTGCTGGATGATCTGGGCAGTGCAATTCCTCTTCTGTAAAGTGGTGCCAATTTCACGACAACACATAGCTCAAAGGCTCCAAAACAAGGTGTCAGCCACTGAGCTGTTGAAGGAAAACACTGTAGAAACACAGCTTATGATTACAGCAGTCTGGAGACACTCTGCACTTGTTGCTGTGAGCAAATATGTGCAGTATGTACTCGTGCCAGACACTGTGAACATGCTGACAAATTCAAAGTTTTACCTATTAACAGCTGTGTATGGTTTGTATTAACATCAGTTTACTGAACCCCTATAGCACCATGCTGCCACTTGGTGAGGAACTCAGGGTTTGCTGTTGAAGTGGAGAATAAGGGCTGAACTGTCACAGAGGAGCCCATAAGGTCACTACCAAAATCTGACTTGGCAGGAGGAACAAGAGATGGCTTTATTAGCTACAATTTACCTGAGGAAAAGCCTAGTTATGATTAGACTTGGAGACATTTTGTCAGTTTTACACCACTTTGTCCCAGTGCACAGGGTCTGATGCAGCAACATAGCCAAGGCAGCGCATGCAGAAACTGTTTTTGGAGTTTTCAGAAAATGGAATAATTCTTCTGCCTCTTCTTCAAACAATGTATTCCCACAAGCTAATCACGAGGTTCTGGTATCACTGTTCCAAGGGGTTTATAGGAACCTATATCCATATGCTGGATGCAAAGTATGTATGCATTCGTGTATATGTATATACCCCACAAGAACACACTTGTGCACTGTATATGAAATTGCAGACAGCTTCAGATCTGCATTGAAGGTTAGTGTCATGCTCCATGTGTTCAACCAAGCCAGTGAAACAGCTCCACAGAAAAAAGTTGCATCCCTTGCTCCTTCCTGATTTAGCTGTGTTCTCCACCAGCACACCCCAGATGGCTCTGCTGACCCCTGCTCCGTGGCAAGGTGCAGCACTATGCAGCCCTTGTGCCAGATTCTGAACCAACTGACTTGACATTAAAAGCAGGACATTAAAACATTAGTCCGGCTAAAATGCCTTGTCAGCATTGTGAGAGTGAAATGGATTATTTAGAGACAATTTAGGTATGTGACTCAGATTTCATTTTGCTGTGCAGCTACAGCCACAGTTGCTAGGCATATGGTCTTGTTATTGATCTCATGAGAGCTAGTATCACTCTAAGTCAACGAGGAGATGAAGCAAAAAGTATATTGATTCATATGTTTTAAGATCAAGGCGAGTATTATGAGCACATAAAGTTAGTTCCAGCATATCATATAATTTCATCCAGTAATTCCTGCATCAAACACAGAATGTTTCAGGTTAAACATGTCTTTCAGAATGAAAAGTAATTGTTTGTTGGTTTTTTTTTAAACTCAGATTATGAAGGAATCATCTCAACAATTTGTTTCCTAAATAATTATACTCACTCTTGAAAATCCACAGCTTGAAGTTTGAATTTGTCTAGTTTCAGCCCCTTGATACTGTTTTGATATGCTTTCATGTGCAAAATTAAGGAGCTTCCCACTCCCAGAAATCATCCTTTGTAGTGATTTAGGCCATGAACAAGTTACAGAACTTTTCTTTGATATTCTCTGAATAGATGGAGATGCCTTCCTGAGTTGTGGCTGTAGGAATTTTTGATGATGATTTAAAATGTAGCTCAACACAATAGAAAATTGTAGGAGTAAGGCAAAAAGCCTGGGATGTCAAACACAGGATGAAGAATATGATTTTCAGTGTAAACTCTTTTCCTCTTTTATAAAGAGCATAATCCATTGCACACCATAATAAGCATATCAACAGGGTGTTGACTTTTTTTTTTTTAAACTGAAGTATGTCAGATCAGTGTAAGGGCCAGTTTTACATTCAGAAATAATAACAGAACTACCAAGACACATTTGACTAAAAGTACAATCTTATTCCTTTGATTCCTATGTTGCTTTTTATAATCTTCCCTTCAGACAGATCTGACCTAATGGATATTAATGTCATGGGGAGTTTGTCAGTGACATCTGGATCTTTGAAGCAAACCTTCTTATGTCATGCTAAATTAAGTTTTCCTGTTTCTCAAGCCACAGCACCTGTTTTGGTTTTGGTGGGTTTTTTTGTTTTTTTTTCTTTCCCATGAATGCTATCTCATCTGTGAGGACCTGGAAAACAATAAAAGTCTAATCAATCAAGTGAAATAGAGCCTTTGCATAAATAGGAAACTAAGGAGCAAGAGTAGAATACAGAAGTAAGGAAAGAGGTACTAAGTATGCAGAACAAGATAATCTGAGTAGCATATTTTTATTGAAATGATGGTATGGAAAAATGTGTCTTAGTAAAGCAACATTCCTGTTGCAGAATATTAGTCTTACATGGAGTTACATACATTTATATATATTTTATCAAATTCATAAAAGGTCAGGTCAAAACAAACTGTGGAATTCAGAAAAGTATGAAAAATCATGACATTCCCGAGGGCCAAAAGCAGAGCTGCCGTGAGAAGGCACAGCTCCATCTAGTCCCGGGTGTGCAATACAATATTCTGTTGCTGGAAAAAGTAGCCTTGTGTATTATCTTTGGTTAGGCTCGCAGCAAACATTAACATTTTAACACAGATGACTCAAGGGTTCCAGGGAAGGGCTGTATTTTATGTCCATTCAGTGCTCATATCAAATTAAGTACAAATGGACTGGGGTTTGTGTTGCCTCATTTTCTGTACAACAATTCTGAAATTTCTGAGACACCAAATTTGGTTTCCAATAGTTGTCATGAGTGGCTGAATAAAGAAGTGTGAATTATTCTTGCAATTCGGTCTCACTCTGAGGCAGATAATCATAATTGTTAAAGTGCATTAAATATGACCTGCAGCTATTTGATCTTGTGCTCTAATCCTCTCAACTTTTCTAAAGTAAACAAAGGTGGGTGGATCAATAGTGAGATGGTTTCGTTCCAGAAGAAGAGCACGTGCGAGTCAAGAGGTACAACAGTGCCTTTTGTGTCATTACTGAATAGATGTTCCTGCACACTGCACTGCAGTGATCACCTAAACGAAGAACTCCATGTATTTGAGACCTCTGAGGCTACACCACTACCATGTCACTCATGGTATGCCACTTCTCCTTATAATCCATGAACTTTTCCTTGTGCTCTTCCCCACCCTACAGTGGCTTGACACTAGTGAAATAAAAGAAAGATGCCGTATACTTTTCCTTGACTCACTGGTGTAGCCTGTTGTTTGGTTGCACATCCTTTCTACTCACTTGCAGTTGATGAGAAGCCACCAAGCTAATAGCACCTGCCTAAATCCCACGTAAATAGGGCAAGAGGCTAGGCCCCTGGGTCTGAATGTGTAGAGAAACAAGCCTAATAGCAATGTGCTAGTGGAGCTGATCCTTTTCGGGTGTAAGATGGGTATATATATGGCCCTTTCTGGGGAAAAGAAACCCCCAAACCTAACTCAAAAACCAGTTTGGCCTGTTAACTTGTCCCAGTTCTATTTAACAACATTATATTTTACCAGGATTCATCCTGCCATCTATGAAATAAATTTGGTGCCCCTTAATTTCTAGTCGAAAGTTACTCTTGTCTATTGACATGAACTGATGAAGAGCTGCTTCATTTCACTGGCATATGAATGAAATAATCTATTTCCTCGCTTCCCTCAGCAATGCATTTAGAAACTTACAAAGGTAAGAGCGTCCACAGAGCACTCTGAAATCCTTACACAAAAGGCACCACGACTATGCAAAGGTCTACTGTCAGTATTGGTGAATCAGCCGCCACGGGAAAGCAGGTTTCCATTTTAGAACAACAAACAACCCCCAGTGGTATTTACTGAGCACTTTAAAGATAATAACAGCTACATAAATACTAAGAATTATTAAGGTTTCTTTGTGAAGAGGTTAATTGCATGGTGATAAACAGTATTGCAACTTTCAAGCCCATCTACAGGCAGAATAAGCACCTTTTGGTTACAGGGAAACCAAAACTAAAACCAGCCCTCTCTCCAAAGGCTCCGAGATGAAATAAATGCTCCCCAGAGGAAGGTTTCCACTAAAAGTCCTGTTTTGGTTCAATAGCGTCTTTGATGAAACTAGATTGAACTTCAGTCTGAGCGGGGCAGAGAAAGACTTGACAGGCAGTTCTCCACCGTGCAGCCTGCCCCCTGCCCCGCCCCAACCCGTGTGCTCTATCAGCCAACACTAAGAAGAGCAAGGAGAGAGCAACAAGCCTCTCCCTTCAACCTGTGCTATCCCCACATTTCAAATTTGATTCAGAAATAAGAAAAGCCAGCTATAACCCAATATCACTGACTCAAAAAAACCGAGTAACTGCATCCTCTTGGAAGAAGATCAGCAGATGCTCCGTACGGGACACAGCACCCCAGGTGTTCTTCACATGCCTGTTTAGAGCCCTGGCTGTGGTGACCTTTCACAGAGGCAGCTGGACACAGGACTTGGAAACTCCTACTCTAAATGGTGGGGAGTAGACGTGCATCTTCCCATGGACTGGCATATCTGAGGAAGCTCTTTCCTGAGTAGCTGCCCCTTTGGGGTGAGATGACTCTCCAAAGAAAATAGGCCTGGCCACCAGCAGATACTGGACACCTGCACATTGTTGTCTCAGCTTGCTTACTTCAGCTGTTGCAGGACCACCACTGACTTGCCTTGTTCTCTTTCCTATGCTCTACTATCAGGAAAAAATAGGAGACCCTCACCAACAGTGGATGCTTCCACATTTTTAAGGAAGACTGCTTGATCACTACAGCCCATCTGATATTAAGAGTATTTACTGCATGGCTAATGATTATTCACCTCCTTTACCAATATGAAAGAGCTTTTCATCTTGAGTGTGTGGTTGTTCCCAATTGTTGATCTGAAGAAAATTCAGGAAGACAGTTCAATATTGAGATCAGGCTGCCCTAGAGTTCCTCTAGTTCTCTCCAAAACAATATGTTCATCTTCAGCCCACTGGAGGCTCTAAATAAACCTGTCCTCTCTGGTGTTGTTTGTTAAAGAAGTTAGAGTGCAGTCCCATCTAATGCTACGCAACTTAAGTTCCCAATAAGACTGTTGAGATTTTTGCAAGCTCAGTATTTTTTAGTTTTTTGCAGAACTTAACACTGGATACAGTCATCCTCTAAGCATCTTGCATAATTCTTTGATTCTGTACCAGTTCATCTTCAAGTTTCTCTTAGGCACAACATTATTTTAATTTAAAAGCAGCATAAATTACCTAAACAAATAGACTTTTCTGGTATCTTATTACATTGTTGGAAAACTTAAGAGCTTTCCTCTTTAATGCTGAATAGAAATTGAATAGCAATTCCAGCATGCAAGCAAAGGTACATCCACTTCTATTCAAGACAGCATTGACTTCTTACCTAACTTACTCACAGACAGAATAACTTTATGATTTGGTAATATATATGGCTAATTTTCACTACACAAATTACATTCATTTGTGCTAGCTCACTAAAAGACTTCCTTTTAACTCACTAAAGCAAAAGTGCAACAGTTCAGCTGAATCCTAGGCAGACATTTTTTAAGCAAGTAATATTTCATTTCCTTACAATCTCTGAAGGCAGGTAAAGTGCCTGTATTTATGTACTGAATTAACTTTTTACCTCAATTCACTGTAAATTAGTCTCGAATGTTTTTGTGGCCAACATGACATGGTATATACTGTTTATACTGCAAAAATGACTGGGTTTTAATGGGGTGTCTTACAGTACTATGGTTAAAACATAGCTCTTCACAAACCACCTGCAATTTGCACTGCTTTCTCCACACAGGCACTAGTAGCATGTCTAAGTGTCTTAACCACAACAAAGGTCAAAACTGCTGTTGAGAGTTCATTTTCCATGCCTGCATTAATTAGTGGGCCTGTTCAGTATGACTACGTGTTACCCTCACCAGCTGTTGAAACACCTGTATACTGTGCATGTCTCCCTTAGCTCGTGTCACAGACCTGGGGAACAAGTGTGTTGCATAGTAGCTGTGGGTACTAAGCCATAGTGTCACATATCTGTGGGTGCAGAACATCTGTATACCGTCTGTATAATGTCTGTGCTGTTTGTTGTGCCCGACAGCTAAACTTCTGATGTACTTGTGCCAGTGGATTTATGCCCAGGTTGGTTTGCTCAGTAACTGGTCCTCCCCTACTCACAAAAATGCACATATGTAAGGTTGGGGATGGATCCCCGTAGCACTGCATAGGCATTGCAAAATCAACAACTCCACTGCGTTTCTGTTGCTGGACAGAGTGACAGATCAAGATTCTATGACTGAGAGGACATTTCCTTGCTTTTTGTTTGGTTGATAGCTTTTGGCATAATTTTTAATGCTCTTGATCATTTTTATGGAGTCTCATGTAGTAGCAAAACCCTGGGCTGGCAGGAGGACCTTTCCTGCTGTGATGTTGAGGCAGGATCTCACCTCTAGCCTCGCGTGGCACTTGGAGGTAGAGAGGAATGATCTGAGCTAGTACTGTCGCCAAAGGGAGGGCAGAAGCACCATGGGGCTGTGCCAGGACCATCTGAATCCAAACAGCTGCAAGAATTGGGGCACCCTTCTGGCACAAGAGCCGGGTGCGCCCAACCCACACATGCATCCCCAGGCACCTGTTACGGGTATGTGGCCATGGGGATGCGTGTCTGATACGGCAGGAGTGCTCGCCTGTGTGGGGATGCGTGCGCTGCAGGCGTGGAGGAGCAAACGGTGGTGCTGGGAGTGGTGGGATCCTGGAGCACAGGCAGGGCTGCGGTGCAAACGCAGCTCCTGGACCCACCCTGCTCTCGTCACAGTCCTGCGTCCAGCGATGCTGGGCGGAGGCCTTAGCCCATGGTGACCCTGTGGCAAGGGCATCGTGCATTCAGGGAGCATGTACCGGAGAGGCTAATCAGTTCTGCAAACTGTTCCAACAAGCCCTTCTCGGGTAGCCTAGGTTTACTGTCATGCTGCCGTGGTCAGGGCACGTCTCTGTCAAACTGCATTTGCTACAGGGCTGCATTAGCTTTTCCTTTGCTTTTCCTTTGCACGGAGGAGTCGGAGGATGCGTTCATTTTTTGTTAGTTCTGCTGGCAGTTCATTTGCCTGGAACAAAACCAAAAAACTTTATGGTTAGCAGAAGTGAAAGAGTATTTCCCAGATGTGGGTTATAAGCATTAAACTCTAAAGAAGATGGAACTGGGCATTATAATGATGTGATGTTTTCCAGTGTTGTCTCCACTACTGCTGAAGGTACCTTAAGAAATTGTCTTTCATGTGCAAGTCTCACTTAAGTCTTCAAAATAATCCCGGCATGGAACTTGAGTGATCAGCTTATTTTGTGCTGACTGTCCAGGCTAAATGGTATCCCTTGGGCTCCCTATGCTTCTGCCACATTAGTAACAATGAGTATAGCTGCTGATTTTTTGGGGGGAGATGAGGCAGGTCTTTATGTACTAAGTCCATAAAAATCTAAGGGAAGACTTTAATGGCTATGAAATAGTACTGCTATGCTGTAAGATTAGTAATAGAGTATGAGTTTGGGTGGGCTTTCTTCTTAATTTATCAAATACAATTTTGGTAACATAAAGCATTTATAACAAAGCTACTTCTGAAAATCAGTAATTCTGTCCTTCAGATATACTCTGTTGTGCCAAATTGCACGTTACTTAATAAAAAAATTTAAATAGTCAGTAGGAGAGTTTACAGCCATGGACTTTATCTAATACTACACACCCTGCTGCTGCAAATCACTACCAGCAGCAGAAAAATCTCATACATTGTTTGGATTATAGTATCAAACCAAAATTATAGTATCAAACCAATCAAACCAAATGAAGACTACTGTGTGAATGGTGTTAACTCTGCTGCCATCAAGTGGAATAATACAGAAATTAACAGCCACAGATATATTAAATGTGCAAAATATTTAGAAAGCATGTGCCTGATTACTTTTAATATAAGCTTTCATTCACTCACTCATAAACTGGACCATCTTAACACTGATCTTAACACTAAACCATACATTCACAGCTTAACAAACCCAGCTATATATCAAACGCTATCAGCAAACAGTTCAGAAACACATGTCAGAGGAAAACACTTTCACTGAAATTATCACAGATGTAAAGTTAAAGTTAAAACACTTTACAGAATAAAATCAAGACAAGTATTGTACAGATAAGTTGCCATTGTAAAAATAATGCAAAACTAATTAAGTAAACTAAAAGCTTTACAGTAAGATATGGGAAAGATGCACATAATTTTGGAGGAGGTTTTTTTTGTATTAGCAATGCCCTGAATTCTAACCAAATTTTCTCATCAAAGGTACCTAGATGCACATTTGTCTTTCTGCAGAAACATCCTCCTTATACATCAGTATGGAGATGTGAATATAACTTATGACTTATCAAAACAGTAACAGATTACTGTTTCCCTAAAATGCAACCTAGTTAGCGCATGACTAGTTATAGTTAACAATTTAATCTGTGGTGTTCTAGTGAGTGAGTCAATCTGATTCTCAGACTGACGTAAATTCTCTAGAACCAGCATCACCAGGGGCACTGTATACAGAAATGAATGGACTAAATGGTGGTGCTTCAGGAGAGGATCAAGAGGCAACCACGGAGCAACACAAAAACATGGGCTGCCCACACCTCCAAGGCACACACAGCTCCACTGCTCAGCCATCCCCACTTGCTCCTCACCTGGGATGGTGTGCCAGGACATACCTTGTTCCTCAGGCATGGGTCCGCTCCTGCCTCAAGGAGCAGTGCCACTGTCCTCACGTTGCCGCTCAGGACGGCTGCGTGGAGAGCAGAGGTCCCGTTCTGGAAATACCAATGGAGGTACCAGACATGGGAAGAAAGCAAAAGGCATTGAAACACAAATGTTTGTAAAGAACAAACCTATGAATGAGAGAGAAGTAACACAGAAGAGATTAGGCCATCAAAGGCCTAGTGTCTGATTTATACAGGGTGCTGGCAGGTTAGGGGGCTATGGAGGAGGTGATTTTAAATGCTTTAATAAAAATAGGAGTCAAGTTCACTTTACCACAGCAATATTTCCTTTTAAAAATTACCCTTGTCAATAGATTAGAGGTGAAATGAACACAGCACTTGCTTCTGCCTGGCAAAATCAGTCATTAGCAAGTGAAACAGAAGCGCAAGCAGTAATGGAAACCATCTGTGCATTTTATCTTCTTTTTCTGATGATTAATGGCCTCAGTGTCAGACAGCTGAATGGTGGGTTTTTTTATGGCTGGCCTTTTCTTTGTGGTTGCAAACTGACAGTTCAAATAACTGTGGAAGATATTTCATACTTGTAATTAACACCTACATTATCAAGAACATCAAAATTGCCAATCTGTTGCATGCACAGAGGCTATCAAAGTATGTGACTCAGAGACACATAAAATTAGGTCAGTCACTAAAAAGTAGCTTCCAAATATGTTATTTTTCAAGTCACTTTATGAATTCAGAGAAAAACAAAATCAAGTAGAGAATCTGCTCACAACATATTTCTTAGGACACTATTTTGCTGACTAAATGCAATAGAGGGCTGAGTATAATGCTAAAAATTGCACTGTCAAGAGCAATTAATTTACATTAGAAATAAAATCAGGTGACAAAAAGCAGGATTTTTGTCTCATTCTATGAGACAATGCGCTTCCTCATTCCAAAAATTAAATTCCCAGATTTGTTTGAAAAGATTCATTTATGTGTGGCATTAAAGGCTAAATAAGGTAATTTCCTTTTTCTCTTGCCTTTTTTTGGGCTCGAGCTCCTATGGTCTTCCACTAGCACAGTCAAAAATGCCACATCTTTCATCAGACCCTTTTCCTTCTTGAGATTCTGTCTAAAAATCTGTGTGTTTCACTACTAACCTTAAGCAGGCCAAGTGTGGGAGAGAATTTCAGCAGCTCTTCTATCACATTGTTGTATCCCTTAATGGCAGCCTTCAGTAGAGCAGTCGTACCATCCTTAAAAGAGAGAGGAGGTCAGTTCAGCTGATATGGATGCTTTACCTGCATTCCCCTTGGCTGGAGGGAAATGCCAGCTCTTGCCCACGCCTCTGAGAGGAAGATCTCCTTTGCTCATTGTCTTTGAGGAGGCACCTCCACAGCACGTGCTGCTGGTTTTAGGGCACCTGGAGGATTGTTCCTCTGGCAGGTGAAAACTTTGGGGGAAAATGAACCAGTGACGCCATATATCCATCGCCTTTGTCTCTTATCTATGTGGACATTTCCATTTCCCTGTTCCAGAAGGTACCCCCGGGAAGGTGTCCCAGACACAGCAGGAAAAAGGAAACCCACGGTGGGACTTTTCAGCCTGGCAAACAGGAAGGACTCTGGGGACACCAGGCCTCCAGACAGTCAGAGCTCTAGTCCCTGAAAAAGCTAGGGGGCATTAAGCTGCAGACAGAGTGCAGGAAGAGGCGCTACTCACATCCCTCGCAGCGTCTCGCTCAGCACCGCGGAGCAGCATGACTCGCACCACTTCACTGTGACCCATCTGTGAGGCGATCCACAAGGGAGCTGTCCCATCCTGCAAGCAAAATAAGACTGCTAATGGTTTCACCTCGACGTCCTGGGCTCTCTGATACTTTACTGCCCAAGCCTCCTGGAATGGATGTGCTTCAATCACTCAATGAAACCCTGCATTACAGGGAGATATATTCAGAGCTGTGTCCAAAAACACTTGGGAAGTTGGTGTATCAAGTTAGAACTGCTTCAGTTCGTGGAGTAGAGCCAACCTTACCTGTTTTCTTTTGCATAGTTGGACGGAAATGTGCACTGTTGTGCGAACAGTTAAAACCCAGTCAGGCACCTGCTGTGCTTAAAATATACGGGTAAGTTTGAAACACAAAGACTAAAGGTATCCTGTGTCCTTAAAACTCTAGGTGGTTGGATGTGACAGAAGATACAGACAAACCTCAGCATGCACAGGCAGATTCTGCAGCTGGCTATCCGTACATAGGGAGTGAAAGTTGTTTAAAGAAGCTAGGGAGCAATGCAAGATGATCATCAACTTCCAATATAAGGTTACATTATACACCCTCAGGGAATCTGGTAAAAATGTCCTGCCTTACAGTGATGGGGAGTATTTTACAAATTTTATCTTCAAGAGCTCCACTAGAAAACAAAGCAATTACCAAACAATCCAGCATGAAGCAATGTGGTTTGGAAAAATTGTCCTATGTCAGCATTATTTGAGCATAAACCCCTAAAAAATGAAATGCACTTTCAGAATAAGCTAACTTTGTGATGGATTTTCGTCTCAAAGGCAAAAGCGAATTGAAGCACTGCAAGTATTTCTCACTGTAATTAGAATTTAGTTTTGTGTCTTCTTCTCCTTTTGCTTCTAAATGGCCTGATTGAGACTACAGGAGAACTCCAGCAGTTATGTGGTGCCAAACTGATTCTTGTGGGCCTTTAACAAAAGGCTTTGCCTGTTTGGACTTTAACATAAAAGTGAGGCCTCACATTGCAGGGTGTCTGCTTTTGCCTTCAGCGCTTGCCAGTTCCCCTCACCACCCTTAGCAGCCTGAAGACTTGGCCTGAAAATGGAAGACAAAAGGCTTCCAAAAGAGTCTTAATGAGAAGTTTCAGAAGAAATCAACTTTTTACTTTAAATAAAATATTTCCACCTTGATCAAAGAAGCGATCTCTCTTCTCAGTGCCAACTGACTTGGCTCATGCAATCCAAAAAACCACTGTAGTACCAGTTTTCTGCTTTCTATGGGCTAGACTTAATCTTTTTGAGGAAACAGAAAAGTTATTTCTTCCTTTGATATAATGTTCTAGGCTTTTCTTTTTCTGATTCTGAGAAAGAGCAAAGGCACATCCTCTGATCTTTAATATTCTCAAATAGTCAGGAACAGGATCTTTGCCCACTCATGCATAATTTCTCTATAAATGAACTCTTTGAAATTAGTGATTGACCTCATTCTAGTATATATCCTGTTATTGCTATGAGTGTTCTTTGTGATTCAAAAATAACAAAGGCTGTGTTGTATACAGCATGTGTGATATTACTGCAATGACAAAAACTGTCCTCTTCAATTTATAGTGTTTTCCCTACCAGTAAGCTGACACTTCATATTTTTCTAATCTCCCTCCACCAGAGGGCTCTAGAAAATAGCAATAAGGACACTGGAAAAGCCTTTAAAATTTGGAAAATATCTGAGAGCCACCTACAATTTAATCTATACGAAGAACTGATGTTGTGCAAATCCACTTGTGTATTTACACAAGAAATACAAACACAAGCTCAGCACGGGGAATATAGCAGCTTTTTTTTACTCACAGTGAAGTTTGTAAGAACAACTCTTATTTTCAGGTATAAATGAAAAGGAGCAGAAGGAAATACAAGTGTTGGGTAACATCACTGCTACCATTAACTGTCCTTAAATAGTATTGCTGTTAGACATCATCCTTGGTGTCTCAGTTATAGGCTAGAAGCAAAAATACATTATGAGAAAGATTGGCTGTCTTGGAAGACTTAGCCTGAAGAGAAGAAGGATTCTAAAATTGATGGTAAGCTCACATTGACTATGGTAATTGTCTTCCTTTTGAGCAAACAGCATCTAACATGCAGGTTTATGCAAGTATGTATAATATTTATACAGCATAGATGAGCTTCTGTCCATTTTCATGTTGGTGAATGGTGCAAAAGAGATATTACATTTTACTAAGAGGTCACACGAGAATTCATGTGTAAACAGACAATAAAGACTGGAGATGGGTCAGGAAGAAAGTCCAAACACTACTTTCCTTTCCTTGTCCCTCTGCCCACCCAGCAGACTCCATACTATTACATTCCTAGAACAATATTAAACACCCAATATGTTTGTAAATTGGGGTTTTTTTCCATATTTGACTACAAGCTAGTATATATGGACTACACCTTATTACATCTAGCAGCCAGCAGTTCCAAAGATATCCTGACTGAAATTTTCCTGATCCTCTTTCTCTTATCCATTAACTAATGACTTTGCTTTGCAGCTTTAAATCTCAACTTTTGCATATGGCTTGAAGTTTTAGAAGAGGCCAGAGTAGGGTGGGAGGTGAAAGACCCCTCGAATTACCAGTAGGGGCTTCCAGGGGCACAGACCCCCTAGTCTCAGGCTACTCAGTGTCATCTCCTCCACTGCTGTGTCAGTCAGTCCATTTGCACCACTACACCTAATTTGCTATTAGCAAATATTAGCACATATTTGCTATTAGCAAATTGCTTTTTTGCCTGAAGTCTGCTCTATATAGGTTTACTGGCTTACATGTAAGTGTAATTGCATATCACGTGGTAAGAAGAAAAGCATTATTTTTCAGATTATTTTGAATCTGCTTAGCCAGACAGACTAAAGCCTGCTGGGACACAGGCTGCCAAAACAGCATGAAATTCACTGGCAAAGAATCTTATAGCTTTGTTTTTTGAGTTGGAGAAGCGTAGAAGCCACTCCTGCACCAGGCGTCAGACACTGCGCCCAGCTCTGTCTAGACAAAAAGATGACAAAAGAATTCCTGCCCTGCTCCTCAATATTGGAAAGAACAGAAGGCAACTAAAACCTAAGAGAAATCACATTACCAGGAACAAAACTTTCCAGGAAGCTTCACTATTTGGTCTTCTGAGAGCTGAGCTAAAGGGCCTGCACATAGACAGCCAGCACCATCTGAAATGCTCCATGGTGTCTTGAGCAACGCTGTGGGATGCGGGAGGTGGGACACCAAACTGAAGGGGAACTGGTACCACTGCAGCAGGAGAAGACATACAAGGCAGATGCATGTGCTCAGGAACATGAATTAGGCCTCCAAATTCTCAAGGTAGAGAGAAAAAGCTCGACACCATGAGGAAAGAGAAGCATAAACTCACACCTGGCAGTCTGCAGTCCTGTATTTGAGGTAATGTTGCCTGGAAGTTTCCTACCACAGTGAGAGCAGTGCAGCTTGTAACAGACAGTGAGAGTCATCTGGCATCAAAACTGCCCCATCTAGAGCTACATTCCTCATGACCAACATGCCACCTTCGAACAAAGTACCAATTGGTTTGTTAGTAAGAAAGAGACTTAGATCCATCCAACCATTACTTGACTAATTAAACAGTAAAAAATTTCCATTTGTTAAGGAAATGTTTCAGATTACAGCGGGCCCAAATACAAATGCCACGCACTTATCCAGGCATAATCTTAGCAGGGATCGGAGGTACCCTGAAGCAAAGTAAGCCTGTCCTGCTGGAGATGAAACAGAGGAGCCAGGAGGAACAGTCACACAGAGACAAGTATTTGCCTCAACTAAGGTTTAAAAATGCCTCGTGAAACATTATGTTGTAGAAATTGGATTAGAGAGCTAAAAAAATAGTGTCAGAAAGAATTAGCTGGCGCATGATAATTACAGTTAGCAGAATGCAGTTTTTATGGCAACATGGTTCAGCTAAATCTGACGCTCAGCAGCTCTATTTTGAATGACTCAAAAGGCATGAATGCATACCTTGGTCTTTCCTTCTACACTGAGCTTTTAGACTGTGTTAATTAACAGGCCTTAACATTTCTTAATCTTTTTCCTGGGAGACAGTGTGAAGGCAACCTAGGAACAGCTAATGCATCGATCCAGGGAGCAGCTGCCAGCACAGCTCTGGTGCTGGGAGGTGGGGGTAGGAACAGAAAGAAAACCACTTTAATTTGGGCACTTAAAATACTAATTCTGTTCCTTACACCCCAGCCAGGACTGTACACAGACACCTACAGATGCAGCAAAAGTCACATATAGATCAGTCTCTGTTGGCAAGCTATGATTTGTCAGGCTTTCAGTGTAGATGAAAGGAAATACTGAAAATACCTGGCAAAGCTTGTTGCATGCCACGTTGTCCACTGTTATTAGAGTTTTCACGTTCATTTGCTCTTGCCTGCTGATTTTTCACTTGCTGCAGTCAGTGATCACAGCCACCTGGCAGACATACATGACTGACTGCGAGGACACGACCTTATCCCATCAATTTCAAATGTGCAGTGAAGACCCAGGACAGCTACCTTGCCTGCAGGGTTTCAGCCGACCACAGTGGAGGCTCTCTCAAAGTAGGTAGAGATTCCTGAGAAGCCCTGTCTCTAACCAAACATTTCTACGTGCTGGGTTGTAAAGCTAGCTGTGCAACTGCCACATCTGGCTGTTTAGGCGCTGATTTTAGAGTCAAAAAACAGCTAAATAATTATGAAACCCTTTTTTGGAAATTAGGAGAACTTCTATATATGTCTCTGTACACCATGCATGCTTACCTATCCCATGGTTAGTTTCACACCTAGAAAGCCTCTTGAACTCTCACCTAATACCATCATCCAGTGATGCACGGTGGATCTAGCCCTTAAACCCCTAGCAGGGACATCTGAACCAGCCACAAATTTAGTTCAGATATATCATTTGATGATCAAACAACAGCCCTGTTGCTTGCAAAGGAGCTAATTTCATGTTTACGGCTGCCGCTGGTCATATGTGTTTGCAGGATTGGGTCCACTAGAGTAATCAAGCTGGAAATGGGGAGAAAGGCTTTCCACATGTTTCAAGAACTTCCAGAGATGAAGGTAACACTCATGCTCGAGTTTCAGAGTGCATAGGGATGACAAAGTAGAACAAACAAACAAAAAAGTAAAACTAAAAATAAAAGCTTTTGTCAAAGATCAACTTTGACACCAAAGCCACAGTACTGAAGGCCTGGTGATTTCAATATATAGATAACAATATACTCCCCCTAAAATTCACGATTTTCAAAAGCTTTCCAAAGGATTTCCAAAAGAACTCACGGATGTGGTAGGCTGTGTAGACCTTCACAAGTAACATGGTACCACACAAATGGTCAGTAGTTGCAAAAGGTAGTGCAAGGCTCTTATATCAACATTATATACAGCTTTGTTGTGATTTAGTTTAGTTCCTGGCCAAAATGTGCATGCTGTTCAAAGCTGTTCAAATGAACAGTCAGTGGTTTGATCTGTTTTAGAATCATAGAGTCATTTAGGCTAGAAAAGCCCTCTAGGATCATTGACTCCAATCATTAACCCAGCAGTGCCAAGTCTACCACTAAACCATGTCCCCAAGTGCCACATCTACATGTCTTTTAAATACCTCTAGGGATGGTGACTCATAGGGTGTAAACACAACTGGTGCAGACCTGGAACAGAGCTTTCTGTTTCATTTCTTCCAAAAAATGATCTAGTTCTCATGCAAGTAGAAATGACTGAGAAAGTCACATCAAAATCACATTACCAATCTGAATTAAAACACAGAATGCGGGCACAGCCACAAACTGCCTTCTTGTGAAACACCCCCATGGGAACCTAATTTTCTATAACTGTAAAAAAATTAGAACCCAGTTCTGCCCTGAGGTATTGAGCATACCTGCCGTGGCTGGTTAACCTTTGCTCCTGAAGAAAGCAGCAGTCGGATGACATCCAGATAGCCTCCTTGTGCCGCCAGGAAAATTGCAGAAGCTCCATCCTAAGAACAAACACATCCATCTTACACTGTGTTGAAACGATGCCATTTTTCTACATGAAACCAAATCAAACTGAATCAAGTTCTCATTCTTAAGTCAGCGTGCTGCGTAACAGCACATACAAAGCCATGCTCAAGAAATAATTACCAACATCCATAGTTCATAATAAACTATGGTAACATTTTCATTCAGTATGTACAAGCACTGGCTTCCATCATGTACCAAACTGACCTTTAAATCCTTGGTCTGGAGTACTAAGAGTCTAGTTCATTGAAGCACTGACCGACACAACTAGAAATTACTTCCTGTATAGCAATATAGGTTCATTTAACTTTTATATGCTCATGCAAAGTGTTCTGCTATGCAGACACATGGTGAAAACATGTTCAAGTACTTTGCAAGACTGGAGACCCCAACACTGAACTCTGCTCCTGAGGCTGAAGAAGTAAAGGCTGTGCCATACTCTTGTGCTACCCGAGCAACTACCATGCCACTGCTCTGCAACAGCTTGTAGAAGAGACTTCACCTGTCATATAGCAATCTAAAAGTATTTCATAGACCTATTAGAAACCAGAATTTTCCTGCAAAAAGCTTGTGAAAGAACAAATTGTGAACAACTACAGGGTTTTATTTTTCTTCAACATGCCTTTCATGTGCTGACATTCTCAGAATTTGACTTCACAGAAACTTCTCCCTTGGGAAGAAAATTTAAAAGTCGTATTTCATTAAGTTTTTTTGATGATAATCCATCCAACCAAGTAGAAGTAGAAATCTGAGGGTGGAACAGGTGTTTACCCATCCTATATCCACAGCACTCAGCACAGAGCGTGCCCAGGCAGGTTTTCCCAGAAGGTGAGACTCTCTTAGTTTAAATAGAGACGTGAATGAGCCCCCTCATTGCATCTCAGATGTGCAAGTACACATCTCACGCCAAATCAGGCAGATGCTTATCACAAAATATAGGGCATTTTAGTGAAAACCTGTTGTTGACCTCGTTGGTATGTCACTATATTGGGACCGAATGCTGTTGTCTGCAGAAAGAGTGCTTAGCTACTCCTCTTCCCGCAAAACTCAGCACAGACTTGGTGAAGCATGAACTGAATATAATGCTCCAGGGACTAAATTTAGAGTGTCTGACACTGATTTCAAGACAAATGTCCTGGTAAACAAAAGAGGTGTCTGCTGGCACTATAAATGCACACCCCTGGGCTCTCTGAGGGGCTGTTCTCTCTGGTTGCTATGTGAGAAAAAGGGTGATGGTATCACAGCCTTTGCAGGCTTCCCCCAGAGACAGATATAGCGAGAACACTTCAATTTAAAAAGTAAACAAGGTTGTGTGATATTAAAAAAGCTCTTTATTATAGCATCAATCAAGATGGAGAATCTTGCATTCCCTGACACCTATTTGGTTTGAATTGATACTGCAATGAGAAAGCTGCCTTGAGGCTATAACATATTTCTGCAAAAAATACTATTTAATTAGGGTATTCTCTTGTCTTCTGCCCTCTTGACCCCTCACCTGAGTCTATTTCAGACTAAAACATAGATCTCAGTGGTTTTGGGGACGAGTATCCAAAGGCATGTGCTGGAAATCCCTCTCATTTGGCTGCCTGCCAGTGAAACTGCCATCCAGATACCACTTTGCAAAATGCAGCTTGGCCATGTCCCACAAAACGCTTATTTTCAAGAGATCATGTTCTTGTTTTCTTAAGCAGCTCCTTCTGAATGGCTTTGCCCAATGTCTGTGAGCAATAAAAATACATTTCCAAATCCAATTGCAAATATTGCTCATTTCCAGGAGAGACAACAAGGAAGTTATTTTACTGCCTGCACCTCTGGGTAAGTGTCTGCAGGTGTGGCAGCACGTCTATTTTTAAACTGAGTGGCAACCCCTGGGATTACCGTACAGAGGCATGAATCACTGCCCTCAGATTAGAAAGACAATTGCTATTGGCACAGCAAAAAGGGAGGAACAGCCTTCTTTATAAATACAGGGTGAGGACAGAACCAAGGTGGGGACCCCCATTATGACCATGCACAGCCCCCAGTGCACTGGTGGCTTCTGCAGTCAGCAGCCCCTCAGCTGGGAACTGAGAGTGCAACAGCATCCTGCAGATCCAGAGCCAGTGGAAACAGCTGAAAAAACTCGTATATCTCAGGGGAACAACTTCCTCTTTGTCAGTCTTGAGTGCCCTGGGGTAGGAAAGAGTGGTGGGACGCAGAGGGAAAAGCCGCCACTGGTTTCTGTTGAACGCTGAAAAGTTCGACTTATCTGTGTCTCTGTTGGAGCAAATTAAATCCAGAGCTTCACTGGCTCAATCCAACTTTCTGAAAAGTCAACTAAATAACATCAGTTCAGCCATTTTAACCATTCTTTGACCAAAACACTGGCAAACTGGAGATTCACAAACACCAACTAACATAATTTTAACTAATACTTTAAAAAAATACTTTGAAGACATTTAAGGATTTTAACTTTTACCACTCTTTCTGGCAAAAAAATGATGTCTATAGTACATCAGAGGCTTCATAGCTATTTACTCTTCTACAGATCATGGTAGAACATGACATGATGTTTTGTTCAAAGCTGATGGATAGCATAAGTCTGATCCAGATTTAGTACATATCCTCCATACAGATACCAAACCAAAAGGCAGCCAAGCATCTTTTGTGATTTTGTGCTACTTCTCTCTGCATCATGAAAAGCAGACAGTTAACAAAATTCACATCTTAGAAGAGCGGAGTACTATAAAACCGCAACATTTGGCAAACGCCTCTCTGTGCTGGAGCCAAAGTGTCTGCTGTTGTCCAACCAACAGCACATTTGTTCCACCACCATCGTTGTCAATATTATGTGTGTCGAATAACTCACGTAGAGCTGATCGTGAATGTTGGCGCCGTGCTTCAACAGAGTTTCCACTACTTTTGCGTGCCCGTACTGACAGGCAGCCAGGAGAGCTGTACCTCCATCCTGTAAAAGAGCAAAGAATGGGTACGGCCAGGTGAGAGGGCACATGCCAAAGGCTTTAAGGCTTTTCAGAATCTGGCTCACAGCAGTTTTGTAGTGACTAGCTACTGAATCTTTCATAATTTTACTACCAAGTCTCACCACATAAAATCTTTAAACTTGGCTCTGTCATTATTTTTCTGCTGACTTTTTTTTAGGGAGGGATAGGAGCAAAGAAAATTCTGGGTTTTTTTATTTCGTCTTCTACCTTGCCACTAGAAGCTTTGTTCCCTTCACAACTCCAAGCACCTCCAGTCCCTTGCTCTTCTTTGGTCAGAACCTTGTGCCCTGTTGTGTCTTGCTTCTAATTTGGATTTTTGGACTGAAGGCAAGTAGGGGGAAAGGCGGAAGCATTTTAAAGTATGCTAGCTAATTGTAGAGGTCTGAATTGGACCAAACCCATCACCTTGTTACCTCTGCTTAAGAAACAACCCCTGCAGGTAGGACCAATCCCAGGCAGTTATAGTTGCTGCACATCACCACTAAAGGGAGACCTAGGCACATGCATCAAATCCTTCTTGTAAGAGACACTCCCTTGGGAGACATCTGAGAACTGAAGCTCCTCAGTGTTGCTGGCAATTGACTCCGAACCAGCTCCGAAACAAATGAGATAGCAAACATAGGTCTTGCCATCTTAAGTGCGCTGTGACCCACTCAAAAATTACCAGTATTTCTGACACTGATATGAAGAGGAAGTTCTTCTGCCTGGGACGGAACCGTGCCATCACGCAAAGATGATGCACAGCCCAAAACATCCACACGACAGATCTTTTCTCTCCTCCCCTGCCTTCTCCCAGTCTCCAGCCTCTCCTCCACAAGATAAGCTATCTAAAGTATTTCAGATAAATGTTTTCTAGAGCTGTTATTAATGTGGCCACAAGACTGTGTTTTCCCTCAGACTTGTTCCCTGAAACAGCTCCAAGGTTTTGTCTGAAATTTTCCACATAGACAGATATCCACAAAAGTAGTTACAGCTTGAATGGCTTAAACGGATCTTTTATAATGGGAAGTGCCAATCAAATTTATTAATCAGTGGTGCTATTTAATGGCTATATTAGCCCCATGAAAACTCAAGCTCTGACACGACTGAAACAACCCACAGGCACTGTTTATAGCCATTCTCCAAACCTCATATTTACCCTTCCTCCCTACGATTTTGAAATCAAAGAATGCTTGAGTGTCAGAGAAATCACAGATGTGAGGCTGTTGTGTGACAGTCTAAGGATTGCTTATTAATTCTGGGTTATTTGAGTAAATACAGTGTGCAATTTCAGGTCAGTGGAGTTAAGTTTCTCTTTAGATACAATGAGATATTAGACATTCATGCCAAATTAAATTACTGTAATTTAATAGGAACTGCTGAAACAAAACACTAAACCAATCACTATTGTTCCTGGATTAAAAAACACCTTATACACACTTAAAAGACAATGGAAAAGCTAATAGCTTTGTGAAACCTGTTTCCTGTCTCCAACCAGCCGAAAGCCACTTCACTCGAGTGGTGACTTAGTAGATCAAAGGAATATTAAAAAACCCCCAGACATTTTTAAAGGCGCTTCCCCCCAAAAGGAAATTGAGAGAGAAAGGTTAGTGAATTAAGAAGAGAAAATATGATATCCAGATTGGAGGTTCTCTGTGGAGAGGCAGGGAAGGATGAGTTTTAGAAACCTTAAAAATGTTGAGATTTCCTGTGTGGAGAGTAAATAGGCGTGCTCAGTGAGTTGCATATGGGAAAAATTTGTTTATTACTTTATGATCTGACTTTCTGTTTTCTAAAATTTTTGCATTCTCAACAAACTCCTCTTATTTTTAGAAGATTGATTGGTTATTAACTTTATTTCTGTCGGGAACCAACTGACAGGTCCCAAATAAAAGACAGGCCTGCAAAGCTAACCACAATTAGCATGGCAGAGCTAAAGCCCAGCTTGGAATCCAAATGTGTGATCCCACCCTGGGAGATGTGACAGCTTGGGGTTTAAGAAGGGCAACACTACCTCCCAAGAGATGTCTAAGTGACTCAAAATGGGGATCCTGATCTAGTGTTTAGTTCAGTCCAGTGAACAGTTTTAAACAGACTTTTTTTTTTTTTAAAGAATAACACAATTCCAAAATACACCATTTGGATCTTTCAGATTAGAGTGACTAAGTTTTCCTAGATCAGCCTGATCAGAGTCCACAGGTCAGAAAAAAACCAAACAACCATTGGGTGGTCCCCAGTTCCATCTGTCCACTTTGAATCAAATATTTACTGAGGTCAGAAAGAACTGGGTAAGATCTCCTTGGCTCAGAGATTTGGTCCCTGATCAGGAGGACAACTGAGCTCAAAGACCTGCTCTACTGCACATCTGAAGTATGAAGCTGAATACATTCAACAGAAGGGACAGGGATTCCTTTGCATGCTCTGAGTTGGGGGTACCACTGTGAAAAAGCAGATATAGATCTCTGTAAGAAAGGGAAGTTGGGGGCAGGAATCTTTTCCACTGACCATGTGGTAAGACAGCACTTAGTTAAATCAAGGAATTGTCAAACAGTGTAAAGGTCCATTGTTTCTTAGAAGGAGAAAACTCAGCCCCCTTATCACCCCTACTGAGCTTCCATCTGGCTTTCTCTTACACTTTACTCCAGAAAGCTGTTGCTGGAGACCCCAACATTTTACAGACCATAAGGAAAGCAGATAAGTTATGAGGGGAAAAAAAAAAAAAAAGGAAATTACAGAGTAGCCATGTGATTCCCTCTTTCCTTTTTGGCTTCAGCTGAAACAAGTAAAAAGCTGAAGCAGCATCTTTGGTACTGGCAAGCCTCTTGGAAACTCTGAGCAGTGCAGCAAGTGGGAGCTGGACACGTGAGCAAGCTCTGAGGCACTCCTGGGGCACTTGCCTTTCTGCAGTGGGCAGGAGGCTGTTGGTGCAGCCTCTGAGAGAAAGCACGTGGCCTTGAGTTCATTTCACCCTCATATCCTGTTTTCCTGGCACAATGAAGCTTCTATTACTCCTGCGTGGCGAACCCTTCCAGCTCAGATAGGAGCCAGTTGTCTCAGCTACCTCTGCAATTGATCCCCAGAAATCATTTTTCTTACACCCAGAGTCTGTCCTCCCCACTGACAGCACATTACAGCAGCTGCCAATCTCCAGTGTAAGCAACTGAAACAGCAGCACCCAGTAAGGCCACTCTGTCTATTTGCCTACCCTTCCTTTGCCTATCATCATCGCCTGAAAGTAGCTTAGAATGCTGTTTTACCATCTCTGAAATATGCTACAGGGGAGGGGAACTGATCTTCTGCAATCACTACCTGCTGAAAAATAGCCTCTGACATACCCCTTGACCTGCAGTAGTGCTCAGAAAACATGCCACCATGCAAACCCTTTTAAGAATCCACATGCTTATAACATGTATCAGAATAAAAGAAAAAAAGTTTCAATCTATGTTACATACTTTTATGGATGTCAGACTGGGACAATGCAGAATAATATTACTGACTAATATATATATATAATATATAATAATTAACCTTCAGTAGTACTATCCATTCTCTTTATAACATCAGCTTTTATTGCTAATTATTTTATTACACTGTGTTAGAATGCTTGCTTTGCCTGCCATAGCAAATATCAACTCTAATGACACAAGGGGTAACAAGAATTGCATGCCTGTATTAAGACAGTTCTCCAGCACTCTTGTATATGAGTAAGAAAAGTAGCAATTACAATTTACAGATAAGTGCATGAAAAGATGTTGGGCTTTTCATTTCTTTGCTTTAAAGTCTCTGTTTCCTAAGATACATTCAATTTTCTTTTTCTTGTGTTAATTCCATGTCTTCATTTATATATATTCTTTGCAAATTGATCAGTTTTGCAGTGTCCTTTTAAAACAGCCAGGATCCACCATACCTTTTCCAGTGCTGCTCCCAACTGAGTGTCTTAGTCTGAAACTGCCTTATCTCTAACCTGAAAAGGCATATTTTGTTTCTGGGGTTTGGGAGGGATGGAGGAGCCTGTTACCTTGGTCACCTGTTAAGAGAACAATGGAATAATTCCAGGCTATGAAAACCACATTACTGAATCAGAAAATTGGACTGATACAAAACTTACTAGCAGGTCAATGGAAGATGTGCACTGTCAATGTACTACATCTCACTGATGCCTCGTGCTCAAGTGCACACTGCTGCACAAAGTAGTTAGTTTCTCACGCAGTCTCAGTCTAAAAATTCACTGGGTTACCAAAGTCCAAATTGGAAGCTGTAAACATTTGGATTCCTGTGTCTAGATCTTCATTTCAAAAGAGCTGCAGTATCCAAGCAAGGAATGAGTGAAAGAATGAACATGGAAATTTCTAGGATAGGTCCCAGCGTTAATGGTGCATTTAGCAAAGCCCTCATACTACTACTGTCCAGAGAGAGCAGATCCTCACAGCAAAGAGGGCATGGACATGATAGTCAACCTCAACTTTTTAAACATATCACTTCCATCTGGCACAAGTTCATAGTAACTCATCTATCCTTTGTTCAGCTTCTGAGAGCCTTTTCAGGCACTATAGCTTGTGAGTGCTGAAGTGACTGATACACCTCTTGAAGAAGGATGAAGTACTTGGACAGGCATGTTGGGTGATGCTACTGAAAAAGAGCCTCACATGCACATCACACACCAGTTTCTCATGCTATGTCCATTGGGAGCTGGTGTTTTCTTATGATCAGCTTGTGTGGAAGTGGCAGAAAGCTGTGGTCTGGAGAGGAAGAGCAACCTGCAGCTTAAAAGATACTTAGGACTGGCATATGAGTCAAGTCAGGTCTGGATTCAGAAGAAGAGGCTGGGAGGAAAAGGGAGGCTGGGGGCAAAGTTTCAAGGTGAGCAACAGAAGAGCCTAAATTTGCATTTGTCTGAAGATGGAAGTCATTTGGAGCAGCTGAATGCAGAAATATTTCTTTTTAATCTAGATCTTTTCCCCCTTTTATCTGCCCTAGTGTCTTACATCATTATATTTTCCATGTTTCATAAAAGATCATATATTGTCATGAAGGATCAGACAATTTCAAGCCTGCTGTTCATCTTCTGGATCAACTCTTGGCCTCTTCACAAACTCCTAGTTTACAGTCTGTGGAAAGATTCAGTGAAAATGTAATTGTCCCTCTAGACAGAACAAGGTATTGAGCCTCTGACTTCCCAGCTGAATGCAAGGGAAGACACCCTTTCTGAATCTTGCTAACCCTCACCCATATCCTGAAATAAAAGTCAGAGAAGTGATGTTTTTTTAATGTGCAGCTTTACCCAATAAATCCGTCCCACATGAGACTATCCAGCACTTTAAAATCCCGCTACTGTATTTAACATTGTAACCTCCTGCATTGCCAAGTTCCACAGCTGCACTCGCTGTTGTGTTAAACAGCTACAATTTCATTCATGTTTTTATTACTGATTGCTGCTGTGGTCAGAGAGCTTCTCACCACAACTATAGCTCCCTGGGGTACTGGAATACTACTTTAAGGGCATGTGTGGACTCTGTCATCAAAACTGTAGAGATTTTTAGCCCCTGGAGCATAAAGAACTGAGTTTCTGATGTTCCATCAATTTCCTTTGTAGTTAGAGCCTATATTTCCAGGGACTGCAGAAAGCAGGTATGGATTGAGGGAATCATTCAAATCACAGAGTAGAGTATCTTGAAAAATTGGGTACTGTGAGGCAAAGAACTATTCCTTCTTCAAACACAATGCTATGGGTTGCAAGGTAAATGACTGGCAAGTGTCCTCCCCAGCTTATGGGAATGTTTCAAGATGTGGCTAGTACATCAAGGACACGTATATTTAACTAAAATATGTTGCTTTTGATTCTGTTTGCTGAAGGCAGAAGTGCTGGTACTGCCTTGGGCAAAGAAACTGAGCTGATGTACTGCTGTCAATGATGAACTGCTGCTCCTGTTGCTGTTGACCCCATAAGCGGTGATGAACTTGGGCTCTGCTGCCTGTGCTTTTGACTATTCTAAGATGCTGAAAAAGGGTCTGCCTGAACAAAGAAATAAAAGCTCTGAGGTGTGTTTCATCTTCTTGTTACAGATGGATAAATGGGAATTTAGGGAGGACTGAAGCCTATGGGGGTATGCAGAGATATCCCAATGCAGATGGAATATCAGTCTGTGCAAGTGAAAAACATAAACACCTAAATTGGGATCCTATCTAACATGTACAAAAAGACCCTTTGATCTTGCATTGGAGGATGGCTTAAGAGGAAAGACTGATATCACTATTAAGGACAGATCTTTGATCAACTTATGCCATTAAGTCTAGGTAGTAAAAACTAGTTGCAAGTTAATATTTTTACAATGTATTGCATTATGCATATTACTCAGAAAATGTTCAAGTGAGGAAATCCTTTTATCATCTTACCACTGTCTTGTCATGTTTCATGCGAATATGAAAAAAACCAGCCTTGATTGTCAGAATGTATCAGCATGCAAAAATAGACCCATCCTCTTACTTTATTCTTAAATTCAGTGGAGGCTCCAAATGAGAAGAGAAACTTCACTACATCGTTGTGGCCTTGTTGTGCAGCAAAGAACAGAGGAGTTGCACCTGACTGTAAGAGAAAAATGTATTAAACTCCAAACATAAAATACACTTTAATTAATACATATTCAAATAATGACTGAGTATACATTTCAAAGTAAAAAGTACTGAGCTCAGTCAGTTGAATATCAGCTGAATGATGATTTTGAGGACTCCAGAGGACACTAGGTATCTTTAACTCAGTCTTCTTCCCATTGCACTGGGAAATCTGTCCAGCATTATACATTTGAGTAAAATCCAAGAAGAACTAAATCCCATATTTTATACAAGTTGTGTAACATACTGTCACATGAGCAAATCAGGACCCCAGAAATGACTATGTAAGCTTTTAGTGGCTGGACTGAAAGAAGAAAAAAAGGAAGGAAGGGAGAAAGAGAGAAAGAAAAGACATGCGGGGTTTCCTGACTTTGGGCTCTCTCATCCGATGTAGAAGGTGCAGGAAAAGGGGAGCTATACATGAAATTCACCCCAGTGCCCACAGCCTTTACAATAGCACATGGCCCCTTTAGACCATTTCAGAACCCGCTCTCCTGGAGCCACATTTATGGGGCACTCACTTCCCCAAACTTCACTACAACTTCAGAGCATAAGAGCACTGGTTTGACTATGTGGATTTAGTTGCAGAACAATTGGTCTTTTGGGCTTAAACTTCATCTGTTTCGCTCCCTTTCTGCAACAGAGTGATTTTGGAGGCTTTCTGTGTTTCTCTTTTTGTTGGCTTATTGAATCAGTATGTCCTGAGCGATACTCATGAGCAGCTCCATAAAACTGTTCTCAACTTTTTCTTTTGTAGCTGCTTTCCAAGCAATATTTACCTGGGGGAAGGCACATGTTTAAATACATGTTTTGTTAGAACAGGACCCCACTGAAAGACACTGACAATCATGGTTAGAGCAAGTTTAGGCCAGTAAGTGCAAAGACACTTATATCATCAACCATGGCATTCACTGACTCAGTAACTTGCAGATGTCAGCATGAGATTAATGGTCTAGTTCCAGGTAACCAAGGAAAGTAAGAAACACTGGTTTGTATTGTTAGAGCAACCAGGATACCGCTGTCCTGCAACTGCATGCTGCCACCCCATGTGCCTGCACGCCCTCCCTAAACTGCTCTTAGGACCAGTACAACTGTGGTTGTCCCAGAGCAATTCTGCTCCGTGTAGCCAACACGCAGACCAGAGTGACTGCAAGTACTCCTTACAACCATTTGCACGGACCATGAGCGAAAGTTTCCCAAAACCAGTCGCTGATGTCCCTTCCACAAGCAAGCATGTCATGGTGCAAGAGATGCCTTGAATGCAAAGCAGAGATGCAGGGAAGGGTATGGGTGATCAAGCTGTGTGATTGTTAGAGGTGAGTTGTCTCAGACTGAGGCAGAAACTCCAAAGCACACCAAGTAAAAATAACCCCTGTGCTAGCAATGGCATCTACTCAATTTTAACGACCAGGCTGCAAATCAAAAGATAAAGGACTTATCATTTATCCCATCCAGAGAGCTGGAAATTATTATTGTGCCAATAACTAAAACTGCAAATAAATGGCATAACCTGTGGTGTGAGGGGGTGTGTGGTTACATCTCAGATGTAACTGACCCTTACCAACCATATGTGCTGAAAATACTTGATAAGTTACTTTTAAATGTACCTCTGGCACCTCATTTTCTATTATAAACTCCAGATATCTGATTCCCTGATGCCCTCAGGAGAACAGACCCTGGAACACATGCACTGCACAGCAAGTGACAAAGAAGCAACTGGCAAAAAGCCACAGACAACACTCTTTTATTATTTGTAATAAACAGACACTTAATCAAGCCCTGTTTGAATGCAGAACTTCTCCTACCTCTCTCTGCAGATTGATATCTGCTCCTTGCAACACCAATTCCCGCACACAATCTATGTGGCCATAGTAAGATGCCACCATCAGAGCTGTTGTGCCAAGCTGGGGGTAAGGAAAAACAAGTCAGTACCTTCAACAGACACCTACATCAATGAATCAGGCTGTCTGGAAGAGACAGCACCTCTTCTGAAAACCTGAAGGAAGCTTACGGTCATTGAAAAACTTGCTATCGTTTTAAACTTGCTATCAAGAATACTTTGGAAATGAGCAATTAGCAGGTGTTTGAGCAAAAACATCACATACTTGCCTGCAGCGTTAAGGCCTGACTGTTCAACAGATATGTGTAAAATTACTTTGCCTTATTGCCCCACAGTAAGTGCCACAAGAATAAAAAGAATGTGTTTTTTTATACACAGAGTTTTTTTAATCACAGAATCCCAAAGATCTTTGCATCATTTCCAGAAGAATAACCCTAGACACAGGAGCTGAGTGACTCAGCTGAGTCACTTATTCTGAGTCATAGTCAGGAGTAGGGGCTGGATGATTCGAACATTAATTCCCTATTCAAACAATCAGAGCAAACTCATTCTGTGACTCTTCACATTATAAGAGAGAACTTTCTGTCCAGAAATATGTTCCCTCAGAATACTATAAGGTCACTGTTCCAGTGAACCACGTAAGATTGAGGTTATATGCGTGCAGCGTATGGACAATATGCAAAAACCATATGCATATAAGAATGAAACTCATCCTTCTAAAGCATTCACACATATCACTTCAAGTTAAAGAAGAAATGGGTGACATTGCAAAAAAGAAGCATGCTGTCTTAATTGTACAAAAATAATTTAGATCTAGAAAATGTGTATTTCTGATACAACTAATAATGCAGTGCAGTGTGAAAATTCTTGACCAAAGTTAGCCTTCTTTTGAGAAAAAATGAGCAGTAGTAGACCTCATTTTTTTCAATTGATCTCTGTCCTGTTGACTTCAAGCCTCCATCTGAATATCCTTCCCTCTCTGGCAGAAGGACACTCATAACACCAGCTCCAGAAATGCTGTAGGACAAATTCTTGCCTACAGGGCAAAAATGAAATGAAAATGAAAAGATAGGTTAAAGTCAATGTGCTTAAAAAATCTCTTGCACTTTGAGGGCATTCAAAGTGAGAGAAGCTGTGGCAGGTTCATGTTTCAGGCTTGAAATGGCACTAATCCTGTCATGTCAGTCAGTCCCCACGCCAAGTGAAAGAAACCTGGAACTTCCCACCTCCGTTTTCTCCTGCTCTTTGACATAGCTTAGCACAATCAATTATCTCACCAGATCTTATGGGCAGAATAGAAAGACATTCTCGTTATCTGTGTTATCAACCCATTTCTAATCTCAAAACTAACTTCAACCCATGTCAATTACAGTAAGGAAATGCCCATGAAATCTATGTGTCACGTGTCTGGGCTCCTCTTTGCTTAGCAATCTCGGGCCTTCATGTTGATGCCCTGACATCATCCCATACAGAGATACTGGAGGGGAAGGAGGAATAATTTAGCAGGCCACCAGTTCTTCTAATTATGAGGAGTTCTGCTAGCTGACAGAATCATTGCTACCTGGGCTTAATTGAGCCAACTCTTCACTGTGATCTATTACTACAATGACATCTCTTTGCAAAGAGAAGCCCGAGGTGCTAGGATCTGTGTTTTAAATGTCAGCACCACAAATAACTGTGTAAGACACATTTTTGAACGCTGGCAAATTCTTAACCCCTTGCCACTGATGTCAATCATCATCTTAAGTTTCAAACTTGCTTCCTGACAAGAGAAGGTTTTAAATCATCCTTAAATGCCTCAAGACTCTCAGATATCTCATGTTAGATTCCTACTACACCCTCTGCACAGTGGACTAAGGGAAGTGATGCAAAATCAGTGCTGTGGGTGTAGGTTCATTGTGTGCATACACTGTCTTTGCAGTCCACATCTACTCGCCCACTGTTCAGCAGCAGCTGGAGGAGAGCCAGGTTTCCTTTTCTCGCAGCCCAAAATGCGGCATTGGCAAGTGGTGTTTCTTTCTGGTGAAAAAAGAGGAAGAAAAGGAAAACAAAAAAGAAAAAAAGCAGAAATAAACCATTTTCGAAGATACATTGGACAAATATACATGTTGCACACATTCTGCGTTCAAGCAAGGCAAGTTTCAGCTTAGCATGCTGTTCTTTCAAGCCCAGAGCACAGAAAGGAAGCTAATCTAATTTCTTTGTGCAATTAAAGAGATCAGTCTTCCTGTGCTACCTCATGTTGTTTCAAGTCTTTCCTGTGTCCATGGCAGCCTACATCTCTTAGATTGCTCTGTAATGAGAGATGATGATACTAGACCACAGGGAGACAACATAGAAAACAGCATACTATCTGGTGCCTGTATTGTCTGCTTCCGTGGTGGGGTTGGCCACAGTTAGGCTGAAGCATCCTGCTGACATGTCCTGCTGCAGGACATCCTCCTGGGTTTCAGGTTAGCTTTCTGTCATCTCCTTCTTTTCTGTATATAAACTTCCAGTACAGGAAAAGTATTGCTCATGTGTTTCCTAGACTGCTTGGTCTGCCTCCTCCCTGGAATTAACACCCTGTAACTGTGGGCATGTGTGATATCTCCTGGGTTATGCTAGAAAAAAGGCTAAAATCTGGCTGTTTATAGACTTTTGGATTCATTTACTAGGTATGCAAGGCAACGTGTAAGGCAAAATTAAGAAACTCTGAAAACTAGCTATCACAGGCCACTGCTGAACAAAGGAAAAGTAATATAATACTCTTTTGAGGCTTTCTTATTCTTTGAAACAATGCCACAGTATGAATTCTCCTGGGTAGGGCAAATTGTCACTGCCCCAGCATAGGAAGAGGGCAATAAAAAAAGCCATGGGCTTTGCTCTTAACCTCCTTATCTGATCTGTGACGGGGGGAAACAACACTGTGATGGCAATGATACATATCCTAGAGAAGGCTCATGCTGCTGATTTTTTATTAAGGCCCCAAGCCACCAACAGTGCAGTAAAGCATCACTTCACTGATAGTCACTTATACCAAAAACAGAGTCAAAAATACCCAGGGGCCTTGCTTTCCAGTGAGTCCTGTCTTCATGATAAGAGAGTGCAGAGTGGATATAAAAGTCAATCACTCAGCTTCAGAAATGTAACAGACACTTCTCCTTGTCTAAATGTCAATGCGCACATGTAGTGTGGTAGAGAATCAGGATTTAATGGTTTTACGGTTGATACTTAAAATGCACATACACAGTAGAGCTTAAATTGCTCTCTTCACTGACACATAGATAATAAACTTTGCAGAAACCAGCAGACACAAGACCAATCATGAATCTCAATCTACCTCAGGTCCATTGCACTGAGCACTTTCCATGGAACGCATTTTTGATATTCATAGGTTTGAAAATTGGCAGCTGTTTGAGACGAGAGACGTTCCAACAGTTCAATAAATTATAAGTCACTTCCTATAAATTGATAGCAATATTTCTTGTACCAGCACACATGGGGCAGAAGTCTGAATATTTTGGCATGCCCAATTAGTTAAATTCTGATCTCCCCTTCACAGCTCATGGATTTCCCTCGAGAATCTGTAGATAATGTTGATCAAAGAAGAGCTTGCAGTTTATACTCTCCTTGCAGGTAAAGCTGTAGTGTCTTCCTATCTTTAGCCTTACAACCACTAAAATTTTATGTAAATGCAAACAATTGACCCAAACACACAGTGGCCCATGTTGCCCTTTTTCCTCTGATTTATTAGACAGATATTTATTACTTATTTATAGAGCTGGCAGTTTGGGATATTGTCTTACTGGTTGTATCACTGTGATATTCAGTGGAAAGCTGTTGCAAAAGAATTATATTTAGACCTTTACAGAATGGAAAATCAAATTCTTTACCTTTTATTTTCTCAGTCTATCCCTTAAAGTTTTAGAAAGCTTTGGGGTATGGCAATATATTCATAAAGGGAAAGATTTATTTAATCCAGCCCAGTTTTCACTACAAGGGCACAGTAGCAGACTGCATTTTATTATTCATACCATACACCACCACCACCTCCATTGGTCAGGTAGGCAGGAACTGGAATCAATATTTAGGAACTCCTTACCTGCTTTCATCAGTTCACATGAGGAGAGAAAAGAACTAAGTGTCCAGTGTTACCTTGGGCTGGAAATAGAAGTCCAAAGTCTTTAGCCTTATGAGTCATAAATTCCTACCTCTTTCCCCACCCCCTTCCCCCCCATAGTTCCTACAGTGGCTCTTCAGCAAAGTTGTCCTCGTGCTTTGGATCAGGCCCAAGGAATGGAAGAACTCTCCAGTGCGTCAAGGACACAAAAACCAGGCTTTTCCCAGTGGTCCTTTCAACCCAATTTGCAATGACTGCTACCAGTACTTCTACTACTCCTCATGCTCCGGCATTGCTGGGGATTCCTTGTATAAAAGTAGAGTATACAGCACACTCACACCATCAACCATCCAGTGATTAGATTAAAAAAAAAGCAATTACAAATCTGAGTTATTTTACCTCCTAAAGTGAATGGAAAGTGCAAAATCATTCAGATGATCAAGAATAGCCCCATTGAGTGCCATGCGGCAATTTCTTCTGCTTTCAAACAAGGATTTATACCTCTGTGCTCTTCATTTTCAGGTGGTATCAACAGTACTGACATCACTGATAGGCACAACGTAAGACATTACTTCTGGATTAATAATCCAAATAATTGAGTAATTTTTGAGCAATAAATGGGTTTTAAACTGCAGGATGTGACTGCTGTTGTTCAGCTATGAACTCAACCTTGTTCTCATCAAGTACTTCTTAGGGAGAGGTGATGTTGAATTTCAAAAGATTAACTGGATAAAATTTTCACATAATTCTTATTATAAAGCCAGTCTGCTCCCAAAGCATCTTTAAAGTAAACAACTGATCCTCAGTACTGACAGTCTGGGAACAGAACGTAATAAATGTCTGAAAAAGTGATTAGCTAATAGCTTTGGTGAAAATAGCTTGTTTCATTATGTCATTTGCTCCAGCATCAGCAACTCTTACGACAAAATTTCCTTCACTTCATCAAGTTCTCTAAAGCTTTATTTCAAACTCTGGTTGTTCTATTAATTTTGATTGTGTGCTTTTACAAGAGCCCATAGATGAAAAGCTGGCATTATATTCATGCTGTATTGACATTAGAAAAAATACTTATTCAAAAATGGCCTAGAGGAAAATATATATATTACAAATCTGACAAGACCATTTCTGTGCAGGGATACAGGAAAAAATAAATTGTGCCTGTATATGTGTCATTTTAGGAATATTGAGGGGGAAAATATCATTTAAATGCTATGACCACCAGTACCTGGGCTACCTTTGACTTGCTGTTTTTAGGGAAAAAGCAGGTGACACTGGGGTAACAGCTGAGGAGGAGGAGCGCAGTTCTTAAACAGGAGTCTTGCAGATGAAAGAAAAGAGGCAGTAGGCAAAGAAAGAAAGAAAAGAGAGGAGAAAGAGAACACTAGCCCTGGCAGTGGTGTGTTCCTTTTACTGTCAAAATACAAGCAAATTCTGTTTTCTTTCTTAGTTTCCAAGCCAGTCCTAATGGAAAGGAGGAATTGAGTGGTAAATTCTAAGGAGAATTGAAAATCAGGTTTAAGCATGATATAATGGAAAAGGTTAGTGGGACCTAGGAGCAAAGAGTACCTCATTAGACAGCAATACATCTTACATGAAGGATCCTGATAAAAAAGAAAGGTCATTCAAGATATAAATGTTGGTTACACAGGCAAAAGCTGGTAGAAGAAGAGAGAGTAGTCATGTATATGGACAGCAAGAAAGAAAGATAAATGGTACATCATGGGTAAGTAGAATAAGAAGATGGAAAACACGAATAGACAACGGCAAACAGGGATAGTAGGGAACAAAGCAAAATACAGTTTTCTGAGGAAAAGAAAAAATGCAAAGCAAAAAGACACAGAAAAGAGAGATTAAGCAGAGGGAGCTGGGGGTTGCAACTCTCCAGAGGGGCAGCAAAGCAGTCAGCCACCTTGAACAGAAGTACTTGAGGAGATACAAAGTGAGAAATAGGGCACAGAATAGAAGCTCACAGAGACATAACAGAAAATAAGACCTGAAGGATGGGAGAAAAAAACAAGGAGGAAAAAAAAAAAGGAGAAGAAAGCAAGAAGACAGGGCTGGCACCACCAGGAACATGAAGCTAACATCTGTTAGAGTGGATGCTTTTGAGAAATGAAGGTGGAAAAAAAACTCACAGAGACAGAATGGAGGGACAGAAAAGAGTAAGACTAAGAAAAAAATGGAGATATGAGACCACTGCAGGACAAAAATCAGGATAAACCCCAGAGAATGCAGTCCAGAAAGCCAAGTGTGTCTTGGGCTACACTAAAAGAAGTGTGACCAGCAGGCTGAGGAATGCAGTTCCCTCTATTCTGCTCTGGTGAGACCACACTTGGAGTACTGTGTTCATCTCCAGGGCCCCCAGCTTTTCATAAGGGTATGTAGTGCCCTTTACAGCACAAGGGGAAATGGCTTTAAACTGGAAGAGGGTAGGTTTAGATAAAAATAAATTCTTTATTGTGAGGATAGTGAGGCACTGGAACAGGTTGCCTAGAGAAGTTGTGGCTGCCCCATTCCTAAAAGTGTCCAAAGCTGGGTTGGATGAGGCTTTGAGCAACCTAGTCTAGTGCGATGTGTCCCTGCCCATGGCAGGGGGATTGGAACGAGATGATCTCTAAGGTCCCTTCCAAGACAAACCATTGCATGACTCTGTGATTTCACCACCAAGTGTAAAGCTGAGCTGCACTGTGAACAAAGGTATTCTCCTGCCTGCCGGGGCTATAACTGGAGGTGGAAACTACCCGCTACACCACCACTGAACTGACATGGTGCCACTGAAGCACTGACACTTCATGGGGGAGATGACAGGAGTGAGAGGCAGGTACAGGGAATAATCCTTCAAATAAAGTAATGCTACACAAACAATATGGCAAAGGACTGGCACTGAGCTGCTGATCAATAAGAGAGAGGGCAAGCACAGCATCCAGAAAGTGCATAACTAAGGAGATGATGTACATCCATCATAAATGTTATGTTAACATAATTAGTTAATTGCTGCTTGCTTCCTTCTTTGCCAAATGATCTTTTTAATCCTGTTTTCCGATTAAAAAACGTATTTCAGACGATCTTTTGAAATGACAGCTCTTGTATGGGTTTGGATGGAAGAAGTACAAAAAGTGACAGGAACTGGAGCCAGCAAAGGGAATGAACCAGCCTGGCTTCAGTGGCCACCACAGCCTGAAAGGAAGAGCACGGATAAAGGCTGCCTCCTAACTATTACACAACCAGCACCACCGGAGACGGCTGGAAAAGTGAAGAGGAGGCTCCTGACTGCACCAAAACACACAGCACGGAGCCTGGCCATCCTAAAGCCGGCTTTAAGCTCCACGGAGTCTCGCAGTTTATGTAACACAAGCCACGCACCCTTTTGGGGCTGTCAGCTGCGGAAAGCGTCCGCTCTACCAGCTGCCACCGCAGCACTCCCGGAGCACCCCACAGCCCGGGAAGGACGCTGCTCTTCTTTCCCTCCGCCCTAAACCACCCGCATTTTTCCTAAAAAAAAAAAAAAAAATTAAAAAAAAAATTAAATCAATCCCCAAATCCATGAATATGACGGAGCACTTCACGGGCTGCCGGCACGGCAAGCGCAAAGCGGGAACCCAAAGGCGCATTCCCCCGCCCCTCTCCCCGGCGCCCGGCTCACCTTGAACGACATCCTGCACATCGCCGCGCTCCGCCTCCGCCCCGCTCCGCTCCGGCCCGCGCAGCTCGGTCCGCACCGCTCCGCGCCCGGGGCTGCGCGGGGCCGGGGCGGGGCCGGCGCCTCCCTCCGCATCACTTTCTGCTCAGGGGCTTCTAGCTATTATTATTACCCTTTAGAGGTTCTCTCTTTTTTTTTTTTTTTTTTTTTTTTTGTGCGGGAGGAGAGTACTTGGGATTAATATTATTATCATCTTTAAGAATATAAAATTAGAAAATAGTCGGATAAAATTAATTATTTTTTAGCATATAATTTCATATAGTTACATAGAATTTTATTCTGTTGTTATTGGTGGTATTATTATTGTTGTTGTTGTTGTTATTAGTTGTAGTAGAGTGAGTATTATTACCCCCCTGCTGCTGCAGCAGCATCCTAAGAAGCCAGCCCCCACAGTGGCGGTCCCACTGCACTGTTCAGACATACAGATCAGGCCTCTGCGACTTAGAAATAGCACAGAAATGGTCCAAAACCCAGGCACCCTTACCCAAGCCCCAGCTTCATCACAGAGCTAATGCCACCTCCCCAGCACCTCCTTTGTACTTCGCGGCCTTTTCCCTTCATCTCTAGGAAGAACCTGTTAAGAGGTATGGTTGTGAGTACACCCGCGCTGCGGCCAACACAGGCATGTGGGGGTGAGCACTCCTTCACCTTGCATGCATCCAGTTATCACCAACACTATCTCCCATGGGTGATGTGCTCTCATTAGGAAGCCAGTGAGTTCTTAAGAGCTTAACTTTAAGCCTTCAGAAATGAACAACCATGAAGCCAATGCATGTCCTGTTTTGCCTGGCTGCCGCAGATTTCATTCAAAGTCTGCGTGCTATAAAATAGGCAAAGCAGGGCATGCTCTGGTGGGAGATTCCTGAATTTCTTTGCTATTGTTGGTTTAAACTGAGCCCTTAGGGATTTTGCTCTTTTGATGTGCACACATAAATCCCATTCACGGGAAAATTATGCGCGTGCACTGAGAGCAAATACTTGCGCTGAGATCCAAATAGTTTATTCAACAAATCTGCAAGTGAAGGATTTTCTGCAGATCTTTTTCCTGAGGCAATATTCATCTGTGCATACAGTAAAACAAACGGCAGGCAAGCAGATGAAAGCTGCTAATAGCACAAACTCATCTCAGAATGCATGGCCTGGTGTGAACCTCACTTTAATTACTGAGTAGATGATTCAAACATGGATGATCATTCTGATTACTTCTTAAACTTGAAAATACTGAATAAACTGAGTAGATTACGCAGTTAAGAGTCTTCTTTGCTCTGATCCAATTGCATAGAGTTGCTTGCCCACTGGCAGAGAAAAATATTACTGATCTGTACACACTCCCTACTTCACCCTTCGAAAATCTCTGTATTTATTCAATCTATTGTGAA